AAAATCTGTGACCGCCATTTTTCTACCCATTATAGGCCTAACTCTCTTGGGCTCTTATTAGTATAGTAGAAAATAATAATTCAGTAGCTACAACAAAAAATAATAAATATGTATTTCTTTAATTTAGAATTATGTGTCTACAATGCTTTTTTTTTTTTTTTTAAAATTATTCATTATCAATAAATTGAATAAGAGAAATAATTTCATTACTTATATTGTCTTTATTTTTCTCCAATATAAAAATTCTTTACATTCAAAATTCAAATTCATTAATTGGTTATATTCGCTACATTGTCCCTACAATGTCTTTATTAAAAAAATTTATTCATTATCAATTAATTAATTAAGAGAAATAATTTTATTAGTATATTGTCTTTATTTTTCTCCAATGTAAAAATTATTTACATTCAAATTCATCAATTGATTATATTCACTACATTGTCTATTATCTTTTTTGTGCACTATTTTTTAATTAAATATCAAAGTTATAATACAAAATAATGCTATATATTTATTTACCAAGTATTTTATTAATACCATGAAAAAATTTAAAAAATTTAAATTAATAAAGCCAACCATATTAACTTGGGGGATTTGTTGACAAAGAGAGTATTTAAACCAAACAACAAATTGAAGTGAGAAACTATCTCGCAATGTCCTTATTTGACAATCAGCAGTTAGCGGACTATATTAGCGGATTTGACCAGCGAATTATATCAACGGTTGGTAAAAAGATATTTGAAAAAATTAGTTGTTTAAATTAACCTTTAAAATGACCTAAGGGATAATAATAATAATAATAATAATAATAATAATAATAATAATAATAATAATACTAATAATAATTGTTTTAATAATATTTTTTTTTTAAAATATAGATGTGTTTTGGAAAAATTATTCTAAAAATCGCTAAGTGAGAAATATTGTAAATTGCAATGTTTGTATTTTCAGTGATTTGGAAAAAATTATTGCTTCAAACTGTTGAATTACCAAAACACTTTCTTTAGCATTTTGATCTTTGGGTTACATCATATTTTACCAATCGTCTAATATCTTTGGGTTACATTATAATTAAAATTTTTAAATTTTTGCTACATCTAAATTCCTTAAATTAGGAATTTCTTTATCTATAATAATTTATTCAACAATAATGGTTGAACTAAATGAACACTGAGCAAAACACCTAAAGGACTGGTACCGTTGAGTCATTCATTGATCTTGTATATATGCGGGCATTCATTAAATATATTAGAACCCTTTGCAACAAAAATACTTGGTTACTATTTAAAAAAGTTTAGTAATAATTATAATGAATTTCCTATATTACATTGTATTCATATACTATGAATTACATATTTAAATAAACAATTTAGACATTAAATGTTTTCCAAAAAAAAAAAAAGACATTAAATTACTTTTTTTTTGAATGCAGACATTAAATTACTTATGTTGAACTTCTCATATATAATCTTACATTGATATACTTTCAAATATTTATTTAATTATAAACATTAGGTAGAAAAAATGACTATCAAATTATTAAATCAAATGAATAGTTCAGATTGTTCATACTTTTATTTTTCCTTGAGATTTCCTAATTTATCCTTAATTATATGATTATTCGATCCGTTAACTTTTCCATTAAGTACTGTTAATTCACCGTAGTCTAATTCTAATATTAAAGTCTAATATAAAATTATAACTACAACATTAATTTAATTATAATATTAAAGTCTTAATAGAACTCTAACTACAAATCCGGCAAATTGCGTTGTGAGCACGTGCCCACCTTGCAAGGTGGGCATGGTTCCATATCCATAATTTCTATACTGCAGATTCATAATTTCTATACTGTAGATTCATAAAATTTATACTTTAGATTCCAATTGTTGAACTCTCTGTTTTCACAAATCAAAGAACTATATGTTCATAATTGATAACTATACAGTTTAGAAATTATAAATTTACAGTATAAAAATTATGAATCTAGAGTACAGATATTATGAATCTGCAGTATAGAAATTATGAATTACTATATAAAAATTATGAATCTACGGTATAGAAATTATGGATCTACAATATAGAAATTATGAATCTACAGTATATAAATTATGGATATGGAATTGTGCCCACCTTACAAGGTAGGCACGTGCTCATAGCATAACGCTCCTACTGTCGGAATCTCCTCAAACAATATTAGTATATATTTAATATTTTATGCTTTAATTTTTATTTGCTCTCCCTTATATTCCGTATTTGGTTTCAACCATACCCATACAATTATTTTATTGACAATTATAATCAATCTTGACTATATCATCTTGCATTTGTAAACTTAGAATTACCAATTTAAATACGCAAATTCAACATTCAATTATCTATGCATAAACAATTCCAATATAAACTTACCTTGATATACTTTAAAATACTTATTTAAGAAAAACATTGGGCATTATCTCAATCGCGCAATGCGCGAAAAAAACTAGTCTATATATACTTAATTAATTTTTCTTAATTAATTTATTGATAATGAATACTTTTTTTTTTAATAAAGATATTGTAGGGACAATGTAGCAAATATAATCAATTGATGAATTTGAATGTAAAGAATTTTTATATTGGAGAAAAATAAATACAATATAACTACTGAAATTATTTCTCTTATTTAATTTATTGATAATGAATAATCTTTTTTGAATAAAGACATTGTAGACACATCATTCTAAATATACTTTAAAATACTTATTTAAGAAAATATAAAAGAAAATATTTTTTCTATAATTAACCCAAACATTTGTTAAGGGGAAATATATGACTTAAATATTAGATTAATCATTCTCTAAAATGAGGAATATAAACATTCTCTAATATTTCTATACTTCTTAGTGTATTATGAACGTACTAATATTTAATGTTTATGAAATACTAATATTTAACGTTTATGAACATACTAACGTTTAATTGTTTGTATTTCACATTAGAGATTTTTATTCACATTGACAATGTTTTGAAGTCTGACATTATTCACATATGTGAAATAGGCTCAAAATCATTTAAAAAAAAAAAAGAAAAAGAAAAAGAAGAAAAGCAAATACTCCAGATTATTTAATGGTACCTTTGACTTCTTTCTCTTACGCATGGTGATTTATTTCTTCAACATATTCATTTTTCTTCACATACAACTGCATAACTCATCACAACTCACATACTATATATGAAATTGGATTTACATAATTTTTTATTGTGCATCAACGCACCTTCATCATCAACCAACTGTCTTCTTCCCCCTCGTGAATGCGGTCGCGGTCCCAACATGCCATATGCAGCTCCAACATTTTTCTCCACAAGACTTATTTGTAGGGTTCAGGTTTATCGCGCTATGTATGTGTATATTTAATTTAATGTTAGTATTGAGGATTCCAAAAGTTTTCGTTCACTTTGCATTTACATTTGTATTTATGATTTGTAATAGTGATTTAAGTATAGGAAGTGGTAGAATATCCTCTTAAATGGTTAATTAAACAAAAAATTCTTATATGTATATAACCTTTCAAATACCAAAATATTCAAAAAAAAAAAAACAAAAATACAAATCCAATAAACATTGGGAACCGAAGAGTTACATAAAGTAATTAATTAAAACATTTATTTACTCTAAATGTTATAACAAAAATTCTGATATGTATATAATAACCTTTCAAATACAAAAATATTTTCTAAAAAAATTACAAGTCCAATAAATATTGGACAACAAAGACTTACATAAAGTAAATAATAAAAATATTTATTTAATCTAAATGTTATATATATATATATATATATATATATATATATATATATATATATATAGGATAGCATAGATAAAGATAATAATTTTTAAAAAAATTAAAACCTGAAAATAATATGTTTGATTCACCTTCACAAAAAAATATAAAAACGTTTTTTAAGAAAAATTTTGTGGCCTTGAATTTTGTTTTATTATATATAATTTACTCTAAATGTTATAACAAAAATCTTATATGTATATAAAACCTTTTAAATACCTAAATATTTTTTTAAAAAATTACAAATCCAGTAAACATTGGACAACGAATGTCTATATATATAATGAGGGCACAGTTGAATTTATTTTTCATATAAAATTACAGAATACTTTTTGTAAAAATTAATTCTAACATTTGTTAAAGGAAAATATAGGATTTAAATATTAATTAATCCGGATATATATATATATATATATATATATATATATATATATATATATAATATGGGCATAGTAATTTTTTAAAAATACAAAATTATAGAAAATATTTTTTCTATAATTAACCCAAACATTTGTTAAGGGGAAGTATATGACTTAAATATTAGATTAATCATTCTCTAAAATGAGGAAAATAAACATTCGCTAATATTTCTATACTTCTTAGTCTATTATGAACGTAGTAATATTTAATGTTTATGAAATGCTAATATTTAACATTTATGAACATACTAACGTTTAATTGTTTGTATTTCACTTTACAGGGCGTTTGGTTAGAGGGGGGGGGGGGGGGGGGAATTATGTGGGAAAGGAATTGTAATTCCATGGGAGTTGAATTACTGAGAATAAAGTGGGAATTTAAATTCCAGTGTTTGGTTGACAGGAATAGAATTACTGGGAATTTCAATTCCAATGTTTGATATACATGGGAATTGAAATGGAATAAGTAGTATAAAGTCAAAAATGTCCATTATTGTTGTTAGACATTAATTTTAGGTTAAAAAGGAAGGGGTAATTTTGACTCATCACTATCTTTTTGTCCTAGGATTTAAAATCCCAGGGGGGGACATGGCATTTTAATTCCATGAAAATGGGGGAATTACAATTCCATGGAATTGTAATTCCCACCAACCAAACTACGGAATTTAATGGCCTTTGGAATTAGGTGGGAATTAAGTGGGAATGGAATTTAAAATCCCTCCAACCAAACACCCTGTTAGAGATTTTTATTCACATTGACAATGTTTTGAAGTCTGACATTATTCACATATGTGAAGCAGGCTCAAAATCATTTTAAAAAAAAGAAAAAGAAAAAGAACAAAAGCAAATACTCCAGATTATTTAATGGTACCTTTTGCTTCTTTCTCTTACCCATGGTGGTTTATTTCATCAACATTTTCATTTTTCTTCACATACAACTGCATAACTCATCACAACTCACATACTATATATGAAATTGGATTTACATAATTTTTTATGGTGCATCAACGCACCTTAATCATCAACCAACTGTCTTTTTCCCCCTCGTGAATACGGTCGAGGTCCCAACATGCCATATGCAGCTCCACGGCAGCACCAACATTTTTCTCCACAAGACTTATTTGTAGGGTTCAGGTTTATCGCGCTATGTTTGTGTATATTTAATTTAATGTTAGTATTGAGGATTCCAAAAGTTTTCGTTCACTTTGCATTCACATTTGTATTTATGATTTATAACAGTGATTTAAGTATAGGAAGAGGTAGAATATCCTCTTAAATGGTTAATTAAACAAAAATTCTGATATGTATATAACCTTTCAAATACCAAAATATTTATAAAAAAAAAATTACAAATGCAATAAACATTGGACAGCGAAGAGTTACATAAAGTAATTAATAAAAATATTTATTTACTCTAAATGTTATAACAAAAATTCTGATATGTATATAACAACCTTTCAAATACCAAAATATTTTCTAAAAAAATTACAAATCCAATAAATATTGGACAACAAAGACTTACATAAAGTAACTAATAAAAATATTTAATTAATCTGAATGTTATATATATATATATATATATATATATATATATATATATATATATAGAGGATAGCATAGATAAAGATAATAATTTTAACAAAAATTGTTCATAAAAATAATATGTTTGATTCACCTTCATAAAAAGTATAAAAATGTTTTGGAGGAAAAATTTTGTGGCCTTGAATTTTATTTTATTATATATAATTTACTCTAAATGTTATAACAAAAATTCAGATATGTATTTAATAACCTTTCAAATACCAAAATATTTTTTAAAAATTTTAAAAAATTACAAATCTAATAAACATTGGACAACGAAGAGTTACAATATTATATATATATATATATATATATATATATATATATATATATATATATATATATATATATGATAGCAAGGATGAAGATAATAATTGTAACAATAATTGCTAATAAAAATAATATGTTTGATTTACCTTCACAACAAATATAAAAATATTTTGGAGGGAAAATTTTGTGGCCTTGGATTTTGCTTTATATTATATATAAAGATAAAGATAAAGGTACTACGTATGAGTGTTTAGTATATATTTATACATATGTATTTAGTAAGTATCCTATTTTATATATATATATATATATATATATATATATATATATATATATATTATTCCTATTAGGATTAGGTTTCCTAAATGGGCTTTGGTTAGATGGGTCCGGGTTAAATACGTTTGGGCTTGGGCTACTTAATACTTTTAACCCGGACCCATCTAACCAAAGCCCATTTAGGAAACCTAATCCTAATAAGAATAATATATATATATATATATATATATATATATATATATATATATATATATATGGTAGGTAATACCCCGACCGACATGTCTTCGCCTTTTTATTTTTGTTTGTGCAGGTTACAGGTCGGACTCTCTTGGAAGAACCCGGTCGGTTGTCGACCGGGAATTACCCGACCGATGTCCTTTAGCCCCGATCGATTGCCCTTAGGCGAGAGAGCCGCGGAAAGACATGTGGCGGCACTACGCACTGACAGGCAAGTAGTCTCGGGAAGAGGACACGTGGTTGCTATGTGGGGGACATGCCGAACGGCCGGACTTATGTCTCCGGCCCAACGGCTATAAATACCCGTAGTTGCAACAGTGTGGGGGACTTTTGGACGATCGAAAGGCTATTGCTAGAGTATCCCGAACGCAGTCGGTCGGCCCTCAAAGTAGCTAGTGTAGATTGTACTTAGGACCTTCACCTTGATCAATAAAAGACATTTATTTTCTTTAATTGGTCTTGTGTTATTTTATTTACTGCTTACGTGGGAATTAACACTATCAATATATATATATATATATATATATATATATATATATATATATTTTGAAAGCCAAGGAAATCAAATTGCATTAAACTGTAGACGAGACAAAGGGGGGAGGATAATCCCTCCAGACCGTACGAGCGTCAGTCGCACTAACATGTTTTGCTAAGGCATGAGCTACCAAATTGGCATCTCTGCGTACAAAATGAATCGAGCAATATTGAAAAGAACGAAACAACTGTAAACATGAGTCTAAAATAACACCTAGATACGAACGATAGATAGACGTATTGCGGAAGCAAGAAACCAGGACCGCACAATTCGTGAACACCGCAACATTATGGAAATCGTGATCTTATAGCCATGATAGGGCCTCTCGTATCGCCATTGCTTCAGCTAGTAGGGGATCATACGGACATATGAGTGGTCTATTAGCAGCCGCGACGAAGTAACCTTGTGCGCTGCATACATAAAAGCCATAAGTTGGTGTCGAGCCGTCAAACCCCGCATCAGTGTAGCAGCCAACACATCCGGACGGCAGTGGCGCCAAAACTGAAGCTGCCAGCAGTAAGGCAGTAGGAGACGCAGGTGCTGGGTCTTGGGGAGCAGTTTGGATTGGGGAGGCATGCGGCAGTAAGGGCGCAGGCGGTGTGGGTGGTTTGTCCGACACATTGGCTGTAGTCCAGGCATTCCAAGCATTGTGAAAGGCAAGACATAAATGCGAGGGGGTTGGTAGAAAAGAATCCCAAACAGCCATATTCCGAGCTCTCCAAATTTTGTAGAGTATTCCGCAAATTTGCTCTTTTAGAAACCCAGCAGATGTTGCTGAACTTCCTAACCAAGCCTCCACCCACTGCACAAAATCATAGCCATCAACATTAGGGATTAGAAGACGTGAAACATTCCACACACGTCTAACGTAAATACAAGTGCATAAAATATGCATAATATCCTCCTCATAATCTCCACAAGCTGGGCAAATATTAGGAATTTCTACTATCTTCCCAACCAAATTGGTAATAGTTGGCAAAATATTAGATAGGGCCTTCCATAGAAAAATCCTCCACTTGGGAGGGACCCTAAGCTTCCGAATGTTGTTCCAAACTGCCTCCGGGGTGATACTCAACTCCCCTTGGCATCTATAGCCATCTTTTACCGTATATTGTCCCCTAATATCCTCCTTCCAAATCCAGTCATCTTTGAAATTAATACTCACAGGGATTTGGAATATTAATTCAACATCCCTGGGATCAAACAATTGGGTAACTAGCCCGTGGTTCCATTTTCCTTGATCATGATCTAACAAGTCAGCTACCAAAAGATCCGGATGTTGGGCAACTTGATCAGTTAGCACAAACGGATTCTGAGAGTCAGGCAGCCACGGGTGAGACCATACCCTGGAAGTTCTACCATCACCAATCCTTCGCCTGCAGCCACTACGGATTAGGCTCTGACTCGCCATAATGCTCCTCCATACATAACTCGGATTACCACCCAGGATGCCTCATAAAAGGTAGTATCATGATAATATCTTGCCTTAAAAATTCGGGCCATTAAGGAATCCGGTTTGGTTAAGAGCCGCCAACCCTGCTTCCCTAATAGTGCCAAATTAAATTCATGCAGCTTCTTAAAACCCATACTACCATACTTTTTAGGAACGCACATTCTATCCCAGGCCATCCAGTGTATCCCATCTACAGTGGTACTCTTCCCCCACCATATTCATCAATCTTTCCAAAGAAGCACATAATGATACAGGCAACAAAAAAATACCCATAGTATACGTAGGCATTGCTTGTGCCACGCTCTTAAGTAGTACCTCTTTACCTGCCAAAGAAAGCAGCCTCTTATTCCACGAGCCAAATCTTTGCCTCAGTTTCTGTTCCACATAGGAAAAAACAAATTTTCTGTTCCTACCAACAACTGAGGGGAGACCCAAATTGTAACACCCCAGATTTTCGAAACTTTTGAAACTTATATAAAGAAGGTAAAATCTCATTAAATCCCAAAACATAATATAAAGAGTACGGGGTGCTATGCCACACCTGAGCTAGAGAGCTCAGGTGCACAGGCTAACTAACTAATATCCTCAACAAGTAAATGCATAACCGTGGCACGCAGGCCGAAAGGGAAACTATCTACTTCTATGCTCAACGATTCTAGCGCGCTCCAGTGTCTACTCTTCTGTGCTTGAAAGCGAAACGGTGGACCGCAGCCCGAGAGTGTAAATCTGACCGCAACCAGCTTATGAACCACAGCTCAGGAATAACCAATCCGATCGCAACCGGATTGGGGTATCATGCACACATAACACATAGCAAGCACATGCAACCCACATTAACACATTGGGAAGGGGGAGGAAACGTATAACAAAACCTATGCGTGATCCTTCACATACTAAGAATAATCCTAAGGGGTTCATACTTCTTTCACCTAGGTCAACGGAATACCAATTCAACTAGCATGCGATATATAAGACTCATACAACCTACGAACGGTACCCGAAATATCAAACTAGACATAGGCACGATAGACGGAGTCCGTTGGGACACCACGGGGGTCGGGGGAACATCAAACGGGGAAGCCAAAATCCCAAATTGGGTATTTTTCCAGCGGGTAGCCGGTGGGTGAGGGGTCACCCGCCGGCGACGATGATTCCGGGCAGCGGGTGCCCGGCGGGCAGCTGCCCGCTGCCGGTGACGCCAACAATGGCCGCGGGTAGGTGGCGGGTTCCCTACCCCCACCTACCCCCCACTGACTCTTTTATCACAATAAACGTCCCGGGAACCTTTGTGGAACCCGAAACCATGCTCAGATACTTTTAAACGCAATTAACAATAACACGTGGACAATTAATGGATCCAAACGCAAGAAACATACGGCACATAACCTATCATGCTTTTCTAAACATAATCAACACCCAAACATGCAAATTCCCACCCAATACACCAAGAATAATACCATACGTGTTTCACGATACAACCTAGGGTTCTAATCACTTTTAAATCAACAAGAACACAATTCATCTTCTAATATCAAGATTCTGTAAGAATATCACATAAACATCAGGAACATCATATAATCACCAAGAAGACAAGAACACCATATAATCGTCAAGAACATCAAGAACCTCTTATCATCAAGATCACCCATGAAACCATAACACCAATTATCAAGATCATTATAACGAATCATCAACACACAAGAATATGGGGGAAATCCTAAGAGGGGAATCATAGCTATGAAAATAGGTTTTGTTGAGACATGGGTTACCTTTTAGCCTTAATTAATTCCTTGGCTATGAAGGGTCTTTCTTGAAGCTTTCTTCTTTCTTGATTTCTCCTAGGGGAATTCTTGGAACTTCTTGTGTGGTGAGGGATTATTGTGGTGGGGGGTTCTAGGTGCCTCTTAAGTCCCCTATTTATATATTTAGGAGTCCAAATTAGGAACTAATATTATAGGCTTGCTAATTCTATTCCTTTTAGGGCTAGGGGTTGGGTTTTAGGGGTGAGGGCCCACGGACCACGGTGGGCCTTTTCCCTAATTAATTATTGTAATTTAATTCTTTCTTTGGATAATTGGTTAAATGATTAATTGGTTTTAGGGGTCGTAACACGGGGTGTTACACTCTCCTCCCCTTAACGGGAAGCTTCGTCCCCGAAGCTTGGTTCTTGTCGGGCGAC